GCCGACGTTCGTTTTTATATTCACAGCTGTGTCGAATTGTATTGGGTATTGTACCAAATGGCATACTCCACCTGTCGTTTTCGGACATTAATTATAAAGAAATCGAGATAAAACTCCAGAAATCCTCTGGATTCATGCTTTCTGGGGCTTTAATTGACTGCAGAGGGACCCCCTGCGCCATCTGTGATTTCCAGGTGAATTAAATTTTCACTACGAGACCTCGTATTCCCATGGTTTTAGCATAGAAGGGCATACAACACTTTTTTTGCCTTTATCCCGTTGAAATGCGAATTTATCGATTACCAGAGTGTTCTAAATTGTCGTAAAATTGTCCTGACCCTTTCGATTCTCATATCAGAGCCTTCGATAATTGTATATCGATCGAAATATGAGAGCTTAACGCCATTTTGGTTCTGGACTGGACTAAATTAAAAAATTTGTTCAAAAAATTGAAATTTTCAATGTGTCAGGACAACTCTTAGATGATCAGGAGTGACGTGTCAAAGTTTCGGACAGTTTGGTTCAATACCCTTAAAGAAAAGTGTTGTATTCGAATTGACTTATTTGAAGCGTGTTTCACTTCACCTTAAAACACACCTTCGTGTAAAGAAGTTTGGTCCAATACCCTTAAAGAAAAGTGTTGTACTCGAATTGACTGATTTGAAGGGGGTTTCACTTCACCTTAAGGAGCCTCACTTTCCAGGAGATGTAGGAAACAGTTTACCAGGGGGTCCTCGTTTACCGGATATCCCCGAAAAGCGGAGTGTCGAGAGCCTGCAAGATTAATGCAGCTCCCACTTTCCTACGGGAGTATTCACGGCGTGTTCAGTACTCGATCGAAACGCCCAGAATTTCATTAGCCTCGAGGATATCCTCTTAGATCAGACACGGTCCAGCGGAAGCTGAGCGTAAACCGTCCCGCCGTCTTCGGAATTAACTTCCGTTTCTCCCGGATCCGATTTGCCCGACAGATATCCGCCTTTGTTCGCCATCTAATCCTTGCGGTCCGGTTTAAATAACTTCCCCGTCCACCTAATTAATTATCCGAACTTTCCGAGCCCTACTTAAAATTCCGGCAATTTAATTATTTTTTTTATTTACAGGAATATTCCCAGATTTTCCCAATTATCCGGCTTATCTCTTCCTCGACCGATCCCGGTAGTTCCGTTGAAATAATTTCCCCATGCGTCTAATTAATTAATTTCTATTTTCCTGCACCTTTTAATCCCGCTCGAGGTCTATTAATCTCCTTGTTATTATTCACAGGAACACATTTGGAGACCGGGAAAACTGTGAAAATGAGAGATATGGATTTTGATGGCGGATCGGAAGATTCATAAATTAAACAATCGTGATCTTAGAAAAATGCTAAGAGGAAAAGAGAGATGCCGAAGAAGCGTTCTCAAGCGGCGGGTTATTCAAATCGACGCGGTGTGACTTTATTTCCTCACGGTCCTACGAATTGGATTTTCTTGGGAAAAATCTCCCTTTCTCCTTGCCGAGGGAGAGAGGAAATGTCTTTTATTTTTCCGGGCTCGTATTTACGATGTTATTCAACGAGGACGCATAATTTCCATCGACTCCCTCGCGAGAACCTCCTTTTGGTTACTCAACGTCGACCTCCATTTAAGTTTTAATTAATGTCTCATTAGATCCGAGTCAATTACCGGGAGGATCCTCTTTACTCCCGCCTTCTACTGCGGAAATTTTTGTTAATTAATTATTGCCTCGCTCGATCTTCCTTTTAATGGAGACCGCAGATATCTCTTCAAGGCTCCAGTCCGCTCCTCGGGGAATACTCGGAGACGTAGAGAAGGGATCCTAGCTAAATTGCAATTTTCAATGAGGAAAAGATCCTTGAAGGATCCAAGAGACGTGGAGTAAGAGTTCTTGGAAAGTCAGGGATTTAATTAAATTTTATCTGATTACCCTCTAATCTTCATATTGTTGACGTCCAAGTAGGTTTAAATTAAGCTAAATTCAATCCAATTCAACTGAAATGAATATTTTAATTAAAAAAATCACGGGAATTTCCAGCTCACTCGCGGATAATTTTCTTGCATTAGTTTATGTTCTTCTTAGGTCGCGGATACGATAGACCGAAATTTTCCTCGGCATTTAAAAAATCAATCTTCTCCCGATCTCCGACAATTTCCGACCACTTTACGGGGGCCATGCTCCAGGAAGAGACGCTTCTACGATTTAATCTGGTCCACGTCAAATTAATTTTGCAAGAACTCCTGTCATCCTGTCTTTCCCAATTTTCCTCCGAATTTCACCTCGGCAGAAAGGACGTGGACTGGAACGACGGGATTGGCTCTGTTTCCTGATTTTCCCGTAAAACAGGTATCACTGTACGTCCCGTCGCTGCAGTCGAGGTGTTTTTTTTTTTATAAAAGGAAAAAAAATATCTAAAAGAAAATACAGGTAATTAAATCGACCCACCTTCCGTAAAATCAATCGATAGACCTCGATGAATGAAATGCGCCCATTAGATGGGATTTAAAATCCCGAAAATCAGTCGAAATAAATCAAGGCGTTTAATTAACCCTCTGCGGACTACCGCCGCATATATGCGTCGGACGTTTGGTCCAATATTGCCTGCCCGTGTTCATGAATTTCGCCCGTATGTCAAAAGAGCTCCGTCCCCAAAGGGTTGATTTTCTAAAAACTCATCGGGAAATGTTTCCGACCGATCGAGGCGATCTCCCGTAACGAGATGGCCGATTTCATGGGATTTGTCCTGTGTAAACGCATCCAAGGATGCACTTGGCCCGAATTTTCTCCTCCCCTAGGACCCCGATTCCGGGAGATAACTTTTCACTCAGAGGTTGAAATTCCCAGGAGCTCTCGAGGGTTTCTCCGAGTCCAGGGATATCGTTACCGTTAACTCGAGTCCTGCCTATATCTACCATCTGCAGAAAATGTTCTTCCTTGCTAAGCTGTGCCGCTTTCTGGCAACGAGGTCAAACGCTGAATCCGTAAAGGACCTGCGAGGGAGGAGGGAGCGCGATTAAATCTACTCCACGTCGAATTAATTTTACAAGAGCTTTTCTTCGACCTCCTCTGACCCGTTCCACGAGAAAGAAATACCCGACAACCCCTTCAGATATTGTGCGAGTTCAAACGAAGGGGCTTTCAGACCCCGAAAGACCTCTCTATTATATTAAAGAGCGCCTTTTTTAACGAGCAGGCCAAAATCGAAAAATTCCCTATTTTCTCGATTTCCCTTTTTCCCTCTTACGTTCCTTTTAGCTCCTCCGACAGAAAATTATTTACCCTGGATGTCTCGAGTCGAGTTTAAGAGATTCGACGGAAATAATTGCATAAAAAGCATATCTCAAAAAGTAATCCAGGGTATAATTAGTGAATAATTATTTCTTCATCGAAATGGCCATTCCAAGTGGTCATTTAAAGTGTCATCTTGTATTTCGTAGATAATAGTCAAGTTGCAATTTAAACTACGTATCTATGTTTCTAAAAATTCCAGAGTAAATAATTGAAATTGAAATTTCAGGGTTCTGGAGGGACTTTTTTTTTACCACTCGGGGCCTTTTTTTCCTCGGTTTCATTAGCAATCAAGTGGTAAAACAACCAAGTGGTAATTTAAAGTGTCATCTTGTATTTCGTAGAAATTAGTCAAGTTGCAATTTAAACTACGTATCTCTGTTTCTAAAAATTCCAGAGTAAATAATTTAAATTGAAATTTCAGGGTTCTGAAGGGATGTTTTTTTTTTTACGTATCTCAAAAATAATCCAGGGTATAATTAGTGAATAATTATTTCTTCATCGAAATGGCCATTCCAAGTGGTCATTTAGAGTGTCATCTTGTATTTCGTAGATAATAGTCAAGTTGCAATTTAAACTACGTATCTATGTTTCTAAAAATTCCAGAGTAAATAATTTAAATTGAAATTTCAGGGTTCTGGAGGGACGTTTTTTATTTACCACTTGGGGCCTTATTTTCCTCGGTTTCATTAGCAATCAAGTGGTAAAACAACCAAGTGGTAATTTAAAGTGTCATCTTGTATTTCGTACAAAAAATAGTCAAGTTGCAATTTAAACTACGTATCTATGTTTCTAAAAATTCCAGAGTAAATAATTTAAATTGAAATTTCAGGGTTCTGGAGGGACGTTTTTTATTTACCACTCGGGGCCTTATTTTCCTTGGTTTCATTAGCAATCCTTCGTTGTAGAGATGCTTTTCCCGAGAAAAGGTGGCAGGAACAATCCGCGGTATCCCGGTCCAGGTCGGTGCTCCGTGGAGGCACTTCCGGTCCCGAGGCTCCCGGAAGCGAGCGGAAGATACGGCGCTCTAATCTCCCTGCAAGTTTCGTGCCCGGAGTTCCGGCAAAGGAGGAGCAGCCGCTAAGCGGAAGCGGGAGCGGAAGTGAAAACTCTTAACGAGAACTTCCCCGAGGATTACAACTCTGGCGAGAGTGAGAGAGAGACGACGGGGACGAAGGGGAGCCGAGTTTTCTCCCCCGGGAGCAGCCAATCTCGACGGGTCTGACGCGTTGATTTAACGGGAACCTCCGGGGCAGCAATAACGAGGAATCAAGGAAAAATCAGCAGCATCCCGATGGACCACCCGGTTATCGAATTATTGGCCGGAATTGGAGCGATTCACGGGAGCGGCATACGTGAATCGCCCATAGCGTGACCGGAATATAGGGCAGGTCGGGGTCGATTTTTATTCATTTAATTTACTCGATTAGAACATGGTTACTTGTCCCGATCTAATTGAAGCGCGAGTCTTGGGTAGAAAATAATTTCAGAGAAAATTACGCGATCGGGAGAAATGGTGGTAAATGATACTCTCCTTGAAAGACACCTTCGTGTAAAGAAAATTCCCTAAATAAATTCTTGTCTCTTTCTTGAATTGCAAAAATAATTCATATAGAGAAATGCAGGTAGATGCTAATTGGGGAAGTACCTGGATATTTTTTTTTTTTTATGGAGCAGGGACGCGCCATGGATGTATCGCGATATGCGTTTACCTGGTAGCTTCTTGCAGCAACAGGTGTGGGGGCACCCAAAACTTGACTCGAAGTGCAAATCTTAAAGGTGCTACACCCCCACCGGCTTGCCTCTCTATCGGATTCCGCAAGTTTAGCCAGAGTTCCTCGCCTTTTGCGTTTTGGTACTTCAGCCCGAAGTAGTCGCACTCCTTGCTGATGCCGAGGCAGTCGCAGACCTGGACAGAAAGGAAAATTTTAGTCAGAGATGACCTTCGAGGGAGAAATAAGAAAATTTCCACATTTTTCACGATTTTATGTATATATATGTTACAGTGAATCACCGAAATTGGTGAATGTCAACATTTACCGGTGTAAGTCAGAAATAAGGGTATTTAGCAAATATTTCGGACATACACTAAGCGACTATGTGAATGTCAACATTCTCCAGATTTCGGTGTTTCACCGTAACATATATATATAATAATAAAAAATAAAATATATATATTTTTTTTTCTTAACGAGTGACGTCGACGCGGTCTTCAAAGTACCGAACCAGCGGAAAACCGTGAAAGCGGATTTCGAGTTTGGGAAAAAGTTCGGCCGAATAAGATCGCAGTCGGAAGAATGAGTTTCCACGTTATTTCCCCGGTTCCGGTCCCACCTCCCACGGGAGCGGAAAGCACGGCGGGACCGCCGCGGAATGACTCGTTCCCCCGTTGCGATGCCTTCATTGGCCGACGTGGAGGAGTAACTTTCCGCTGGTCCGGAAAAACGGAAAAGCAGTCGGGCCGGTGCTTTCCCTGGGAAAACTACCCCTCTCGATCCGGCCAACCGCCAAAGTTCAATATTTATTCGCGGAACAGCGAACGCGTCGGCTACGTCCGGTACCGCTTCCGGTTTTGGTTCCGGCCGCGTTTCCGCAGACCCTTCGAGGTCGGTTTTTACAGCTGGGCTCTGCTGCTCGTGGCAGCCGTTTTTTTTACAGCCGATCGTTCCCTTCGTTCCCTCGGGACCTCCGAAATTTTCCCGAGGAAACGTCACTTTTTTTTTTCTTCTTCTCCTTTTCCATTTTTTACGGTCAAAGAGGAAAACAAAATTCCAAGAAATCAAGGGGAAAATTCTCCTCGCGTGTTCCATTAAACGCTCATTTTGTCATTTCTCCTTATTTCTTCATAATTAATGTTTATGTTCGAGATCTAAATTTTTTACACTTGTTTACCCAACTGGGCGCTGCTTTCGCGGCAGTCGGTTTTTACAGCTGATCGTTCTCTCCCCTAACCCTTCCCCCGGGACCGGCAAGAAAACGCGTCCATCTGGGCGGTAAATTTTCCCGAGAGAATTCCCCTCCCGCGGACGCATTATACGGATGCTTTTTTTCCCTTCGTCCTTTAATAATGAATGTCGGTCTTCGTCCCCAGGACCGGAGGGATCTGTTTTTACAGCTGGGTCCTTTCATTCGTGGCAGCCGGTTTTTACAGCTGATCGCTCCTTTCCCTGGCCATTCCCGAGGGACCTGCGAGGAAGAGCGTCCATTTCTCCGAAGCTCGATTTACAAAAAAAATTCATTTCAGCTCATGTGCAAATTTTATATATATGTTACCGTGAATTACCGAAATTGGAGAATGTTGACATTCACCGGTGAAAGTCGACATTCTCCAGATTTCGGTGTTTCACCGTAACATATATATAAATTCTTGAAACATTTGAACTGCTCCCAATCCCCGATTAACAAGAGCCGATAACAGATGTTCAACGAAAAACATTAAAAAAAAAAAATTCTTGTCGAATTTCGGAAATTTTCTACAATCTCTCAGTAACGAGAACCAGGGCTGAACATTTCGTAAAGGGAAATAAAATAAACTTTACATACAATGCATGTGAAAGATCGGTTTAATTCGTCTTGTCATTCCGTGGATCAATTTTCCGAGGACGAGATAAAATCGAGAGGTCCTCGAAAATGTAGGCCAAGGGTTAAGGCGTGGAGGAGGTTCGGCTAGAAAGTGAATTCCTCGATAGATATGTATCGGCGTCCCTCGGCCGACATAAATTTCGGAAAGATGCGCTTCTAATCGCACGGCCAGACGCCATTTTCCCGGGAGATAAGTCGGGGGAATACTTTTCACTTTCCAGCCGACATAACTCTCACGCGGGGACGCATAAGCGAGGGTATTTTTTAACCTTATCGCCGCCGTAAATTCTGCATTATGCATCGTAACCGGGACGAACGACCGAGCGGGAGTTTCGACCATTTCCGTCCTGAAAATCCCATTCTGCCTCCGAGATTTTCCGACGTGCCTCGTATCCCATCTATAAACGCATCGAACTAAAGATCTCGATTTTGTAAATTCCAATTTTCATATGTATATAAAGCTGGAATTGCCACTTTAGCACAATTCAATAAAATTTGTTGCAAAATTTATTGTTAATTCATTGCTATTTTATTGCACAAGAGACAACATTTTTTGCTCTTATACTTTTCCGAAAAATGGTGGCGACGTCAGCTTTATATAAACCTAACACTGCCACGATAAAAAAACAATTATTAAGTAAATATTCATCGATGAATTATATACCAGAATTTATTGCTAATTAATTGCTCGCGGGAAAACCAAATTTCAATTTTTTTTACTCACCCCTAAAGGGGTGAATCGCCACCCCTAGGAATGATCGCAGGACAGAAACATGAAAAACATGGAAGAATCGAACTATTTGTTCACGTGGGAATTAATCGCTAATTAATGTAGGTTTGAAAATTGTATTTTTACAAAGATATTGGTTCTTCTCGGAGCAATTAATTTCCACGTGAAGAAATAGTTCGATTCTCCCATGTTTTTCATCTTTCTGTCCTGCGATGAGCACTAGGGTTGGCGATTCACCCCTTTAGGGGGTGAGCAAAAAAATTGAAATTTGCTTTTTCCGCGAGCAATTAATTAGCAATAAATTCTTGCATATAATTCGTCGATGAACATTTACTTAATAATTGTTTATTATTGTGGCAGTGCTAGCTTTATATAAAGCTGACATCGCCACCATTTTTCGTAAAAGTATAGGAGCAACAAATTGTTTTCTTGTGCAATAAAATAGCAATGAATTAGCAATCAATTTTGCAACAAATTTTATTGAATTGTGCTAAAGTGGCAATTCCAGCTTTATATACATAATTTTCATCTCGCCTCGAGTTGCGTCCAGAGAACACGAGTAAGAATTGAAAGCCATTAATAATTTTCGCCGTTTCGAAATAATGAGGATTAAAAATGATTTTTATTTCCCTACAAGTAGATCCTGCCTCCCGGTTATCTGGTACCTTATCCCCTGGTTGATTTTTATATTCACAATTTACATTATTTTAAATTTTCCGATTTTTACCGGGTTCCCAGGCTCGACCGGATCCCGATAGAACGCGTCCTCCTGCACCTCCGGAGGTGCATAATGCATCGGGAGAGGAACCTCCATTACCGACTAACGATACTAGGTGGATCCATTAATCAAGAGCAGACAGTCCGAGAACGGGGTTTAAATATATCCGGGAGTGGTTTGGCAGGATAGCTCCGTAGGAGTCGACTTCCGAGTGCCTGGGGATCCTAGGGGGTCCTGGAGAAGGACGGGTTGCGAGCGACGTCGAAAGACGACCGCGGGATAGAAGAGGACGAGGCGAGCGCGCTCGCGTGGGCGCGAGAGAGAGGGCGCGAGCCCGTTCGTCCTCGACGCCATGCCGGATTAACGAGTTTATTTCGTCTCCCCGGCACGCGGTATTAATTTCGCCCCCGCGAATGCAAATTAGTTCATTTCGGCCTAGACCACGTCCGCGACCCTCGGCCAATCTCTGCCAAGGGGGTAAATGGGAAGGGTCTCAGGGTGTCGGTCCATCTTGCTTTTTGCGAGGACCAGGTGAAACGGGTCCACCCCGTGAGAAATAAGGTGCGTCAAGCTAGCATGGCCACCCTAAAATTTGAAATTTCGGAAAAATGGTGGGGGTACAAAATTAATTAATTCAGCACAAAATTACCACATAATTAGCACATCATTCCTCTGTATTCAGAAATCGTGTATTGGGATGTTGCCGTGCTGGCTTGACGCACCTTGAGAAATATCGCAATTTTATAGACATCATCGAATTCAGAGACATTTATCAAGCTAGCCCGAAGAGGACTAGAAAACTGGAGGATGAGACGAGAATCATTTTTTAGAGACCAGAGCGTTCCAACTGGAATCCACCTCCACGGCGGAGGAATTGTTTAAAAAGGTGGGAAAAAGTTATCCCAAGGGAAACTCGATCGCGGCCGCGAAGGGACCGCCACGGAACGCGGGAATACGAGATGCGCGTCGCATGGAACTTTCCCGTGTCGAGCGAGAACGGAAATAGAACGCTCGAAGGTGTGCAAATAGAATCGTTTACCGCTCCAAGTCCATACGGTGCATCCCACGTCCTGCAGCGAGGCCGCAGAGTGGCCTTTTTCCAGAATAAAACGCATTTACCAGGAGGGAAAAAAAATTCTTCACCACTTTTTTTTTTCCCCCTCCTTAAGGAAATCCGTATACGTGCACTTGTCGTATCGTTAATAAGGATGCGTTCTAGATACCTCACCTATAAATACCCCGAAGGATTTTTCACCGGTTAAGTATAACGTAATTATTAAAAAGAGTAAAAATTACAGGGTGAAAAATTATTCAACGGTTATTGGGCTTCGTGGGTGCATCCCCGTTCGATGCAACTGCATCCTTGGGAACGACCTCGCCAAACCGGGCCATCTCGGGAACAAGGGAGAACCGTTCTTGGGACACGCCGGAAATGAGAATCGCTCGGGGAAATCGATGCCCCCCCCATCATGCTCGGAATCACTTTCGATCGCCCCCCCCCCCCAAGACGGGCGAATGGAATGTCAAAAGGGAATAAAATGAGGTGAAGGGGGATCGAGAGGGGTTCCATTTTGCCATCCTCTGCACAAAAATGGGAAGCCCTTTCCCGTCAATCGCCACTTCCCTCCTCCGGGAATCGCATTCTTTATGCTTCGCGAAGATCGGAAGCAAATTTTCAGGGGAAAAAGTATCACGTACTTTTCAGAAATGTGGCGATTTCGCATTTTCACATTTTCACGTTTTCGCATTTTCACATTTTCACATTTTCACATTTTCATATTTTCACATTTTCACATTTTCACACTTTCACATTTTCACATTTTCACATTTTCGCATTTTCACATTTTCACATTTTCACATTTTCACGTTTTCACGTTCA